AAATTTTTTTAAATAAATAGGGATTTGCCTTTAAAAAAAAGAAAAAAGGTATCATTATAAAAGGTGTATGTTATGCCAAGAAATAATAAGATATTGTAGATGTGGCCACAAGTTAGCTGCAGTTAAAAAAGAAAAATATTTACTTGAGAACTCCTCTGTGTCATGACCTACCATAATTCAGAGCAAAATGTTTAGGTCTCTGTTATTTAACATTAAATTTCAAGGGAGAAATAAAATACCCTGAAGTTTGAATGAAAACTAAAAAGAAGAAGAATGAGCTACCTTATGCTATTTGTTTCTAAGGTTGTTAGATGATGCTAAAAACGAAATCTCATGATCTTTATAAAATCTGAAAATTAAACTACGGTATATAGAATACACTTCTGGAAAACTTCTTTACATCAAGAATTTAGTAAAAACTTCTTTTTCTCATAACATTGATTCAACTACCTGATCAAATCACTCGAGTTAGTCTAAAAGGTGATTTTCTTTGGGGGGGGAAGGAGAAGATATAGCTTAAACACTGAAAAGTGTAATTCAGGTCAAATCTACACAAAGAGGCTAAACCACATTAGAGATGTTTCTTTTGAGGGGCGCCTGGCTGGCTCAGTCAGAGCATTCGACTTTTTTTTTTTTTTTAAGTTTATTTATTTACTTTGAAAGGCAGAGAGAGAGCACACACATGTGCGAAGAGGGTACAGCAGAGAGAGAAGGAAGGGAGGGGGAGGGGGAGGGGGAGACAGGGAGGGAGAGACAGGGAGGGAGAGACAGGGAGGGAGAGAGGGAGGGGCAGAGAGAGAGAGAAACCCAAGCAAGCCAGCTGTCAGCACAGAGCCAGAGATGGGGCTCAAACACACGAATAGGGAAATCATGACCTGAGCAGAAATCAAAAGTACGATGCTTAACGGACTGAGCCACTCAGGTGCCTCTGGAGCATTTGACTCTTTTTTTTTTTTTTTCAACGTTTTTTATTTTTTATTTTTGGGACAGAGAGAGACAGAGCATGAACGGGGGAGGGGCAGAGAGAGAGGGAGACACAGGATCGGAAACAGGCTCCAGGCTCCGAGCCATCAGCCCAGAGCCCGACGCGGGGCTCGAACTCCCGGACCGCGAGATCGTGACCTGGCTGAAGTGGGACGCTTAACCGACTGCGCCACCCAGGCGCCCCAAGGAGCATTTGACTCTTGACCTCAGGATCTTGAGTTTGAGCCCCACACTGGGCGTAGAGATTACTTAAAAAAACAAAACTTTAAAAAAGTTAAGAAAAAAAGAAATGTTTCTTTTGAAAAAAGATTCCAAAATGGCCAGAGATATTAGCATACTTAGTCTAAAAGATCAAAAGTTATTTTCTTTTAAATCAATATTTTGGTATAAACAAGTATCAACAAACACAAATAAACAAAGATTATGAAGTACCTTTTCTTCATCTATACTTGTTAGATCAGTATGACAGTTTATACAAAAACTACAAAAACCAGTATTCTCCAAATCCACCCTATTTCCCTTCCCTGTTTGGTCTGAGGACAGGATAGTGAGATGGAAAGTAGTCGGGTTACATTTCCAGGGTTTACCTAGTTTCTGAGAATTTTATCTCATATCCCCAATTAATCAGTCCTTTTAATCCACAACTCTACTGATATGATATGTAAAATATATTCTACAGTAAAACTTTAAAGCTGCTAATATATTATTTCATTTTGACCCACATTCTGAAATTAGTTCATTAAGAAAAAAAAATAAAAAGAATCAAGTACAATGTGGGAGAGGGGGGAATGGATATCCAGAAATAACCATATTCTCCAACATTCTCTTCCTGCTAACCATAATTTTATATGTTATGCTAAGTATTACTTGAATAAATTTTGCTATTTGAATTCTGGAATTTAAAATAAGTTTATTCTAACTCTGACACTGTCAGTTGTTTCCCAACTCATTTTTGTTTAAAATCAGTGAACTGTGAAAGGCATATTTCACAGAAAAAGTAAAATACCATGTTATATTTTAATAAGTTAATTTTACTCACTTTACTAATTTCTTATGAAAGACCACTATAGAGTTAGAATACTTCTTTACTCTCTATTGTAGGTAGTATCACAAAATTCTTTAAAATAGTTACATGTAATATACAAATATTCATACAATGTAGATAATGCGTGTAACTAACAGCAATGAGAGTGGGGGGAAAATCCACTGTGTCATGTGCGCTAAAAGAAATGTCTACCAACCCATTTACAAGGGCATGTTTACAATTGTTCCACCATTGGCTCAATTTTTAATGAATCACCACAATCCCTAAGCGACACTATGGCAAATTCTACTCTTCAACGAGTATCACGAGACAGTCTATCAGCATCAAATTTTAATTCAAAAGACTTCGTAAAAAATGTACATTATAGGGAAAAAATGTACATTATAGGAAAACAAACTTTCAACATGAACTACTTTTTCTGATCCTTGTCAACTTGTGAATTAGTTTTTTTTAGAAGCACAGCTAGGTAGACATACCATTCCTTCAGATGATGTAATCTGTAGAGATTTGGTAATTACAATATGTTAACGACTAACATAAAATAATATTTACTGCCGTGACTATCAGACAAGCTTTAAAAGCTTTCACCTATTCCTGAGGTCTTCGCAGAAATCAGACACCTGGTATGAGAAAACAGGTGTTGAGAACTCTGCTGGTCATTTCTAAGAGATTAATGCAACATGTACAAATTCCACAGATTATATACAAAAACTGAGGAATCTTAACCAAGGGGTACAAAAGATCACATAAAAACACAACTCCATGCTGACAATGCAACATGGAGAGCCACTGCAGAAACTGTGATAAAACTTTATGAGAGCAAAAATAAATGAAGAGGGGAAAACAACCACCATTTAAAGAAGACACTGACAGAAGCAAAGAAGCACAGTAAAAATCAGGATTATCCCTGGGGGGCGGGGGGGGGGGGGGGATCTGTTGACAAAAAAAAACAAAACAAAAACAAAAACCCAACCTGTTCTAAATACTAAATTTTAGAAGTGCAATTGAAACAACACATTGCCCATTCAGGAGGCCTACAAAAATATTTCTTTAAAAAAGTTATCACCTTAATAGTGTAACTTCAACCGTATTTTTTTAAAGCCTGTACACTTGGAAAAGATTATCATAATAATTAGAATAACTTGTCTCTATTTAGAAATGCTGTTTAAAAGCAGGCCAATGATAGGAACTCTGCTATTGCACAACAGAGAAAGTAAATGAAATAATGCCCATTAACATTCAGTGTTGATGGTATGTTGCTCAATCTCCCAGAACACAGGGACTTACAGTATCTGCCCTCTACAATTTACCACTTCTACGTCCGTGCAGTAGCTCAAATAAAATGAGTTCCTGTGTTAATCCCACAATAAACCTCAGTAATTCTCACATCACAGTTGTAAAGGTTTGTTAACAAAAAGAATGTTTTTCCCAAAATAGCTACATATCACTAAGACTACTCAAATTCCTAAATAATCCTTTTACAAGTCTCCTGCCAACTTTATTTTGATACATTAAACATGTGGAGCCTATTTTAAAAGGTCTTTAACTGTGACTTCGTGAAAACAGCTTCCTAGTTTTTCATCTAATGTCTTCTTTTTAAAGTTTCCACGTTGTTTTTAAGCCGACTTGAATACTTATGAATCTGGGCCACTATCAAATGCTTAAGAAGCAGTTTTGCCAAGTAAGATGGGCAAATGTTCTAGATCTGCTAAATCGGACAATAAAGGTCAGGCAACTTAAAAAACGAAAAATTTATTTCCAACATTCACTGAGCCCCTCTTTTTTAAATTACCTTGGTGTTATTCTCACATTTAACGTTTATGAATACAACCTACTTTTGAAAGGACATTAGACCCAATTGAATTATTAAAAAAAAAAACTGATCTTCCATATAAAGCCGGTTAGTCTACTCTTAATGGGCCTCTGGAAGATTTGGGGTACTGATGGCAGAAGTTTCATTTAAAAACTTTTTTGCGGAAAAGAATGACATCCGAAAAGGACTGCTGGGGAAGGCAGGGAAGAAGAGCCCGGAGTCACCAAGAAGAGAAAGAAGCGATTTAGAGCTACTAAGAAGGAGGTGGTGAGAGGCAAAGAAAGAAGAATGAGAAAGAAGATTTAACAAGGAAGTGAAGTGGAGCGCAGAGTGGGGCAAAAGCTGATGAGGAAACAAATGTAAAAGGTAGGGTTTTCAAATAGGCATGATCCAGGAAAGGATGAGTTAAAGCCTGGAGTAGCCCTAGCCCCAGTGCTTTGGTGTGAAAGAGACGCTCGCTGTCTGAAACAGAAAACAGGGGGAAAGCAGTTCACTTCCAGGCGTTGGAGCAAAGTAAAATTCCCTGCCCCGAGCCTCTCCCAGCCTCGGCAGAGCGCGGAGGCGGCGGCTGGGGAAGGGGCCTACCCAGGAGCCAGGCTCCGCGTTCTGCTCCCCCAGACTCCACGGCAGAAAGAAAAAAAAAAAAAAAAAAGGCGAGGATTAGACAGGTAGGGCCCACGACCGCAGCCCGGCGGCGCCCCGAAAACGGTCCGGGGCCTCGGCGGTGCCCGCGAGCCGTTTCCCCTGCGGCGGGGCGCGGAGCGGCCTTACCTGGGGCGAGGGAGGGAAGCGAGGTCTAGGGCGTCCGTTCTCGCCCGCCGCAGAGAACCCCTGCTGCACTCAACCCAGGCTTCCGACTGAGGCGCGACCCTGCCTCAGCCGCCGCTTCCCCGTCGGGGTCTCGGCCACCGCCTCCGCCGCCTCCGGGGCTGTTTACACCGTCGGGCCCCGCACGCCGCCGCCGCCGCCGCTGCCGCCTTCTCTCCACCCTAGCGCCGTTGCCGATTCGGCCGCCGCCACCTCCTCCGCCGCAGCCTCGTCTCTCTGGAGCATCTTCCAGCCACCGAACCCTGAGAAGCAGAGAGTCCAGCCGCGCCGGCAGGAAACTCCCCCGCAACTGCTAGGGGGACCAGGCGGTCAGAACACCGGCGGCTTTTCCGCCATTGAGCAGCAGCCGCTCGGCTCCTTCTGCAACCCCCTCCCCGCACCCTCTCCTCCCCGCCCCTCGGGCAGCCCCGCCCCCAGATCCCACCCATTGGGACGGCGCGGCCTCTGGCTGCACCCGGTTGGCTGGGCTTCCCGTCAATCAGCGACCCCCTCCCACTTCGGCTGCCCCGTACCTCGGTACTCAGTTTTCCCCGCCCACAATGCCCCGCCTCTCAGTTCCTAATTTCCCATTGGGCACCAGTGACCACCTTCAATTGGCAAGGTCAACTATCCATCAAACACCGCCCACTGAGTGAGACCCAACCCTTCATTACCATTTACTTTATTCAGCCCCGCCTCTGGACGTCAGGAACCAACCCACCCTACCAGCCATAAGTAGAGATCGCCATCAATCAAATAACGCCCACCTGCACTCCGCCTCGCAAAGCCCGAACCCTAGCGATTCTCTTTTTTTATTGGTCCAAAGGGTGACCCGAACCCTCAATCATTGGCTTTCTCTGCGTGTCCGTCACTAAACCAATTTCCAAGTCCGTCACACTGGCTTTTTTTAAATGAACGCGCAAAAGGCGGGGAAGTATTCGAAAAGCGATTGGCTAGTCTTCGAAAACGGTCAAATCCAGACAGTGTGTGCAGATCCTTCCCGTTCTACGAGAATCATGCCCCTTTATTTCTAACCTCTAAGCCTTGCGTAAAATAAGCGCCATAAAGGAGCCAACGCGCTTGTGCAGTTATAGGTGTGGAAGCCTAGTCCCACCCGGAATTGCAGGGGGTTGGCTGCCGATTGGCTAACAAAGTCCTGTTAGGCCCTCATTGGAGAATATAAACGCCTCTCTTTGGCGTAGAGACGGAAGGGATGGCGCGGGCGAGGATCAGAAGCGGTCCGGGGAGAGGCGGTTGTTTTGCTTCAGCCAGCGGGAGGGGCATACGCGGGAGAGAGAAGCTCAGAACGCCGGGCTCTGGGGGAGGTGTTGCGGGGAGGGAAAAAGCCCGGATGTTTCCCAACAATGAAATCATCGCCGACCAATCAGAGCTGCTGAGCTGATATACCTGCCGGACCTGTCCGCAGTAGGGGAGGGAATGAGTTAGTGAGCGGGAAATTGGGGTATCAGGAAAGGCTGGAAAGCGAATTGAGAAAATGGGACAGGCGATCCCTTCAAGAGGGCTCTGTGCTGTTAAGGGTTATTTGTGTTCTTTCTAAGCCTGCAATGCCTGGCATTCAGCCCTTGACATTTCCATGTTTTGTTTCTTAGTCAACATTGATTTTTAAAACTCGGCCTAGTCTTTGACATTCATTCCTTCGTTCCACAATTCTTGAGCGCCTGCTGTTTGCCAGGCACTATGCGAAGAACTGCAGACACAAAACTAAATTAGGCAATCCCACTACAAGATGATACATGCTATCACTGAAACATGCAAGGGTTGGTAGTGACATAAAGGGATCGTCCCTGTGTATAGGTTTACTGAAGAAGGCTTCACAAAGAACAGTATCAGTCTAGAATAAATGATTCAAGAGGCAAAGGAAGGGAGTGGACAGGATTCCTTCAGCAATCGATTTAGACTAACAGGTATTGCCAGGTTAATTCCCCCCAAAAGAAACAAAACTAAAGTGTAATTAAAGCATTCTAACACCTTAGAATACTTTTTTTTTTTTAATAAAAGTGCCCTGATAAAGGATTTAAACCTTATTCACACTTTTGTGTAAATTGGTTTGGACTGACAATCAGAGCTGGCCCAGCAATGGTGAGAATGGCAAAAATAAAGACTTAATTGCAGTTCAGATTTTTTCATCTATGCCCCAATTTTGCATAATAATAGGGGTTTTTACGGTATGGTGGCTAGCGCACCAGCATCATAACCAGCTGGCGTGCAGATTCCTGGGTCCACTCACACCCATAATATCAGGGACTCTAGGGACAAGACTTAGGTGAATTTTTAAATTTTTATTTTTTTTTTAATTTTTTTTTTCAACGTTTATTTATTTTTGGGACAGAGAGAGACAGAGCATGAACGGGGGAGGGGCAGAGAGAGAGGGAGACACAGAATCGGAAACAGGCTCCAGGCTCTGAGCCATCAGCCCAGAGCCCGACGCGGGGCTCGAACTCACGGACCGCGAGATCGTGACCTGGCTGAAGTCGGACGCTTAACCGACTGCGCCACCCAGGCGCCCCTGAATTTTTAAATTTTTATACACACCAATGATTGAGACCCTCTAGCATAGGTAATGGAGACACCATAAACTAAAATTTAGTTGCCCCACTTCTGCATGATGGGAGGAAAAATAATAAAGAAAAAAAGAAGTAGGCCCATTTAGACTTTGCCTTTCCCTTGTCTCCTTTGTTATCATTATCACTTCTTAGGAAATATTTCTTAAATAACTTATAGAATACATTTCCTTAAATCACTTTCCTTTGTCTGACATACTTTATATAGGGGAAAAGGAGTCTAGGATCTCAGCTTCCAAAATGAGAATCTAAAGATCATAAAAATGGAAACATCAGAGGACCCTGGTCTTGAGAATCCAGGCAATCTCAGAGGGCATCAGAGAAGTTTCTTGATCTGATTGATTTCCTTCTCACTTTCCCTTGGTTGACCCTAAGACTAATACAAAGCACAATCATTTAGGTGGGCTGATGATTGCACATCGTTCATTCTTTCAATCACTAAAAGTAAAGATGCATTGGGCACCCTGGTGGCTCAGTTGTTTAAGCATCTGATTTCAGCTCAGGTCATGATCTCAGGGTTCACAAGTTCAAGCCCCTGCCTCAGGCTCTCTGCTGTCAGCATGGAGACTGCTTCAGATCCTCTGTATCTCCCCCCCTCCCATCTCTGCCCTTTCCCCAGCTTGTGCGTGCTCTCTCTCTCTCTCAAAAATAAATAAAAATAAAGATACATTGAATACTGTCCTAGGGGTTAAGGATACAATAGGGATAAAAACACATTTAGGTTAACTTTCTTGTATGTTTTATTGTATTAAAACACTAAACCAATAGGGGTGCCTAGGTGGCTCAGTCAGTTAAACATCCAACTTCAGCTCAGGTCATGATCTCACGTGGTTCGTGAGTTTGAGCCCCGGTGTTGGGCTCTGTGCTGACAGCTCAGAGCCTGGAGCCTCCTTCAGATTCTGTGTCTCCCTCTGTCTCTGCCCCTCCCCTGCTCGCACTCTCTCTTTCTCTCAAAAAATAAACATTAAAAAAAAAACACTAAACCAATAAAGAAGGCCCAACACAATTCACAAATTTAAAAGGTAAATTGGTGTGTACCATCATAAACATATAATGCATCGTAAACATTGAGTACCATCATAGAGAGCTCTGATTCTAACTAGCTATGTGAATGCAGCTAGTCTAAGCTCTCCTAGCTTTGTTTTGTTGAGATTTAGACGTTATTAAAGGCAAAGCAGTCCCCAAAATATAATAAAAACAATACTTAATATAATGTAGAGGGGCACCTAGGTGGCTCAGTCAGTTAAGCGTCCGACTCTTGATTTTGGTTCAGTCATGATCTCACAGTTCCTGGTATTAAGCCCAGAGTCAGATTCTGCAAGCTGACTGCAAGAAGCCTGCTTGGGATTCTCTCTCTCTCTCTCTCTCTCTCTCTCTCTCTCTCACTTTCTGCCCCTCCCCCACTCGTGCTGTCATGCTCTCTCTCTTTCTCTCTCAAAATAAATATATAAACGTTAAAAAAAAAGTGAGTGTAATGTAGAGAAAGTCCTGATTTTCCCAATGTAGGCTACAGTATTCTGGTGGTCTTTTTAAAAATCATTTTATTTATTTATTATTATTATTGTGATTATATTATTATTAGAGAGATTATTATAATTATAATTATATAATTATTATATATTATATATGTTATTATTTATTATATATTATACATTAATTATATTATATATTATATAATTATAATATAATTATAATATAATAATTATATTATTATTATGAGAGAGAGAGAGAATCCCAAGCAGGCTCCACACTCAGCACAGAACCCAACTCAGGGCTCAATCCCATGACCCGGGGATCATGACCTGAGCTGAAATCAAGATTCAGATGCTCAGCTGACTGAGCCACTCAGGCACCCCGGTGTTCTTTTTAAAATAAGACATCAGATATTGGGGTGCCTGGGTGACTCAGTCAGTTAAGAGTCTTGACTCTTGATTTCAGCTCATGTCATGATCTCATGGTTTGTGAGATCGAACCTCTTTGGCCTTTGTGCTGATAGCATGGAGGCTGCTTGGGATTCTCTGTCTCCCTCTCTCTTTGCCCGTCCCCCCCCCCCCACCACCATACACACACGTTCTCTCTTTCTCTCTCTCTTTCACTCTCCAGATAAATAAATAAACTTAAAAAAAAAAAAAAAAGACATCAGATATGGGGCCTCTGGGTGATTAAGTCAGTTAAACCTCTGACTTCAGCTCAGGTCATGATCTCATGGTTCGTGAGCTCGAACCCCACATCAGGCTCTGTGCTGACAGCTCAGATCCTGGAGCCTGTTTCAGATTCTGTCTCCCTTGCTCTCTGCCCCTCGCCTGCTCGCACTCTGTCTCTCAAAAATAAATAGACATTTGGGGCGCCTGGGTGGCGCAGTCGGTTAAGCGTCCGACTTCAGCCAGGTCACGATCTCGCGGTCCGTGAGTTCGAGCCCCGTGTCGGGCTCTGGGCTGATGGCTCAGAGCCTGGAGCCTGTTTCCGATTCTGTGTCTCCCTCTCTCTCTGCCCCTCCCCCGTTCATGCTCTGTCTCTCTCTGTCCCCAAAATAAATAAACGTTCAAAAAAAAAAGAAAATTAAAAAAAATAAAATAAATAGACATTAAAAAAAAAATTTTTTTAAAGACATAGTATAACAATTTTTTCCAAACAACTTTGGGTGCCTCAGTTTTGCTGGCGTCCTAAACCCATCCTTGATAATCCAGTACTGTCTACTTCAGGTAATTATTTTAAAGATCAAATGGGAGGTGCCTGGATGGCTCAGTTGGTTGAATGTCAGACTCTTGATTTCTGCTTAGGTCAGGAACCCAGGGTTATGGGATTGAGCCCTG